TACAAAAATGAACAAATTGGATATTGAAAGAAAATATGTCAACAGGAGAACAGGCAACGTTAAAATCATAAACTAAATATTTCTTATACCCTTACATATAACGATTTGATTTACTTTTACGAATTATCAGTTCCTCTTCTTTGAACCATAGATCAACAACCATTGAGACGGAAGAAATGTGGAGACCTGTGCATTCAAAGGTAATTATCCAGAGGACAGACACGACATTCCCTCAAACCCGATATCAAAACACGGTGCATCTGTTTACACCTTCTTCTCCTGATGATGATTCGATTTCACTATCAAGTATATCGGATTTTTAATAAGCTTTATTCGATTTTTTCTTACTGGCAGTCATTGTGCTTCCTCAGTGATAGAAATGTTGATATCCTGTGTTGTTTCATACGTTGCAACATATTTCAATAAGCTTCTTGTACATATATATATATATATACTACACACACTTTTGAGTTGAGACAGTGTACCAAAAAAAATCACGGTGCAATAATCGCCATAAAATGGAATCAGTCAACGATTGTCTTGTGGGCGGGATACTGTCACACGGTCCAATTTAAATGAGGTGCATTCTCATGCCAAATTCACAATAATTAACCAACTAAAGCCCGACCCACAAGGCAGCGAGACGGTGTGTGAAAACTTCAATCCGGTGGAGTTCGTTACCCAGTTCATCGGACCATACACTCTTTGGGCGGGGTCATAGGCCCAAGGTGCTCACCACACCTCGATACCCAATCGAACCGGTGACCACTGCCACAACAAGGTATGTGGTTCTTACACATCTTGATTAGTTGGAAATTCGGAATTTAACCAGTTCCCCTAGGTGAACTATCGGTGGTTCACCAACCCGTTCATAGTCCTAGAAGTTGGCTTTTCATCCTCTCACCTTGGTGGGAAAACACCTCTAACACAGGAAAGCAGTGAGTAGGACTTCTTCGGCACAGACTGATTTAGACACTTTCTGGTATAGGAGCAATTCGCGAAGTGTAAGGAGACACCCACCCTATATCAAAGTGAGGCTCTCAAGAATCTCGTTAGAGAGCATAGGCCGAGTTCGCGAAGTTCTTAGCTTTTTCGGAGTACCGAGAATCGTAAAAGCAAACGACAAGAACTTGAGCGGGACGAAAATAATCGGATCTTGCCCATAACGATAAGTTGATAGCAATCTAAAAATATTTCTGAAAGTATACGCATTATATGATGAAAACAGTGTGTCACTGTGTTACAAAAGAATGGAAACTGCTCACGGCTCAACATAACAAAGTGCGTATAAAGGGAGGAATTATTCGTCTGGAAAATCCGGATTGCGGATGGAAAATGAACATTTACGCACAGACCATAGCAGAATGAAGGTGAGTTATGAAATTTGAAGTAATGTCAAATGGAGAGCGCGCTCGTATGTGTGATGATGTCGTGTCCCGAACAAGCAGGTGAGCATGTAGAGGAAGAGAAATCAATGGGAAAAGGATGTCATTGAAAATGATGGGAACAGTGATCCACGCTCTTTGTATATCACAATGAACATAATTTGCACAGCGCAAGCTAATAATGAGGCCTCTTTCTCTGAAAAATTCACGACAACACGCATCCGCTTTCGTTTTTTGGATCTTTATCTGTGGAGAAAATGGGTTTTTCTTGGACGGGTTCGACAGGGGCTTCGCTGTCAATCTTTTCCTTTTGCTGCTTGGCACGTACCTAGAAAACAAGCACAGGGGGAGTAAGGTTTGGATTAACAGAATGACTTAGCAACAGAAAACAAAGGTTCACAGACAAAACTGTAAGGCAATATACGCGATGCACATCAAGAAGCAGTTTGGTACGATATATTACTAGGTTGCTAATTATAGGGCCAAATATTTACCTTTGACACTAACAGCGAAATGAGCAAGGCTCAATTGAATAAGCGACTGAACGCGCTTAAACGAACACAGATCGTAGACAGCATGAACAAGTTCAGATGACCGTAGAGGCCCGATAAATGCATATTACCCAATGAAATATCTAAAAAGCTGACAAATGGAACATTCAGGAGCTCTCTGATGGGTGGTTAAAATCTACGCAAAAGGAATGTGCACTGAGAACTAGAAAAGGCAGATCAAACTAATTGAGGTAACACTGAGGTTTCAACCATAATAAAACGAAATTGCAGTCAATACGAGTTTGATCCATGCGTTGCGTGCGCAAGAAGTAACGGAAGATATTAACCGGGACTACATAGACTGTCACATAACATGTGAAATACAAACCAAAACCAGAGTAATGTTGGATGCCAGTGTCCTGAAAATTCAAACCTGGGGATAAATAAAGCCAGTTTTTGAACTGAATCGGTTGAGCGTTTGCGGCTATCAGATTAATATTCCAACATCGCTGTGTTATCATCATTATTGCATTCGAAAATAACCTGTATGCTGGTATAGTTTGTTTACTATGTAAACCCAAACCTCGGGTGTCCTTACATTTAACAAGGCGACAAAACCTGATCGTTTTTCTCCTATGAAGGAACAACACGAGAAAAAATAGGAATAACTTACTTTTCGATCTACAGCTTCTTCTGCCATTTTGCCCAAGTCAAAAGCCACATATGCATCTTTCCAACGGTCATCTGGAGAGAAACTGAACTCCGGTTCCAAGGGCTCAACAATTCCGTACTGAGCTTTTAGGGTGAAGGCAGGTGCACTCGCAGGGACACGTTGGTGGTAACTAGGAAATCAAGAGCATAGAACATAATAGGCAGTTAGTCATGGCACGTCGTAGAAATCAGGTTAAAGTGCTAAGGTAGAAAACTATTTTCGTTGATAGTCATTCTAAGGAACCAAGAATACCTATGCAAATTAACTTGGATCAGTCTGACAGATCGTATGACGAAGCCTACAAACCGAACTCAGATCGAAGTTTTAACATACTTCTTTCATTTTTCACTTCCTTTTATTGAATAAACAAATGTACAATTTTCAGGATGGGAAAGTGAGCAAATGGCTGCCATACAGCACACCGAGAATGGAGAAGTAGGGCGCCGGTGGTGGTGGGATTCGAACACGCCCTCCGGAGTGATAATTTTGGTGACGCAGAGACCACCGGGCCACCACCACAATAGATTGACCACCTTTATGCTGGTCATTATTAATCCTGCTCTAAGGGTCCATCTGGAAACTTTAGAAATTCCTGTCCTGTCAGCGAAATTTGCGAACGCTGATTTCCTCCATTCATCAAATGATAATCTGTTTTATCCTAAATGTGAACCTAATTGATTGCTTTTTTGCCACTCTATGCCCACGCATTTGTGAACTGCTGTTTTTTCCTACCCAACCAAAGGATACGATCTCATCTGGAGTTTTAATCTGAATCTTTGTTGCTAGTTGAAATTCGCACAACCTCATCGACTCATTGATCGATCACATATACGGTAACTACCTTCCATCTATGCCGTCTAACTATTCTTTTCCTTGTCCCGAGACGCTGTTCTTACATAAAGTTTGAATACTGCGTCAAGCACTGCCGCTCTGAACTCTGTAAGCCCTGTATTCGTCTTTCTTTCTTTATCTTTTTTACTTGTAGTTGCTCTGTTGTCAGCCTTATTCTGCCCATTGATGCCGTGTGGCGGTAATCAACCTTATATCCCGCTACATTTCGTATTAGGGCTTTTGTTTAGCACCATTTGTAAGCGAGAGACCGTCAACTGCTTACTTAAATTCTGATTACCCGTTGCAATTAGTGGAATATAAAAGAGTACGGAAGCTGATTGTATCAATGTCCGTTGCGCAGATAACCATAATGTAAACTGATGCCGAGACGGAAAGAAATGACTGGATCGGTGGTGCAAATCAGTGAAGAACTGGTCAAAGGCATGGCAGTAACGACGTTAAACGCACTCCCATGATAGACAAAGGGTGTCTTATGGACAAACAAACTCCAGATGGACAGTGATATGCTTCATATGGTGAGATGCAAACGTCAATCAGATAAACATAGTGAAGGTGAGGTTCAAAAGAACGAAGTAAGATAAAAACTGAAACTTAAAGAACTATGAGCAAACTACCGAAACAAAGAAGGAATGTTCAGTTGGTCAGAATATGAATCTTTTTTGAGAACGGTTTGGAAAAAAAGATACATGGACACAAAAAGTATACACTACTGACGAGTCCCAAACAGGACGACATAGCTGTCCAGCACTCATTGTCGGTAATCACAAATTTTTCCATCGCTTATAGACACTTCCAACTAGTGCGGAATTAACGATTTCTCGAGAAGTGAAACCCACACCCAAGTCCATCAACAGTGTCTGGTGCCAGTGAACAATCGAATGGATTATTCCAGATTTAGCGCTCTTAATTGACAGCATACATAGTTTTGTGCGTCCCAAAACTAACTTGTTTAAGTCAAAGTTTTCTTATGAGAAATACTCATAAGCGATTGCTGTTCTTGTTCCATAGGGTTTTCACACAAATGAATTGAATTACGAATCATAACTTTTCATTGGTTCCTGGACATCTACGGATATCGAAATCTGAGGCATGACAATGCTTTGTCCACTTTGTGCTCGAAAGCACCAATTGTGGGAGCAGAAACGTGAGGTGGTAGAAAATTCCAAATACTGCACACTCTCAGGACAAATGAATGACGCCGGCACTCTATTCGACATCTTTCGAGTACTAATTTGAATGAGTGACTCCTGAGGCGAGTTAGGCGAGCAGTGAACGACATGGGTAGTCAGAGTTTTTCATTACTTAATAAACCAATATGAAGTCCCCTCAAATTCGGTCATACCGGGTGGAGTACAAATCAAATCATTCCAGTCTTTTCACCTAAGTCCTGGAATGCAGTTTCTTGACCATCTCGGGGACCATTCTTTGTGGACGTTCAAAATATTACAATCACGTTGCAGCTGTGGATTCCATGCTTAAATGGCGTTACTCTATGTGGTGTCTAGTGTAGGCTGACGACACGTGGGAACACCATAGGTTCGAATTTACCGAAGATTCGCTTTAGTAAAACACGTCTTTCAGCTGCGGACGACGCCCTGGAACAGCTTAAAGATCTTCTTGAACGATGATACCAAAATTATTCTCATTCGAGGCATACGAAAGTTTTCTATATCCTAGGAAGTATGGGGATCGATTAGTTTAGTTGCTTAGTTGATTAGTTTGCTCCACTGTTTCGGCGGCATTGCGTTTGAGGGAACCTGACTTACATTAAACCATTTTCACGCTCCAGTTTGCGACGAGTTTGCACTACCAGTCCACCCAGGCGGCGGAAGAAGCAATGATCGGCTGGTTTGGCAGACATACCAATTCCTTCAGTCCTCGCGTACGCTTTTGCCATTTCATTTGCTTTCTTGTAGCCTGATAAAAAGAAACGAAGAGCACGGAAGAGCTCACTGAGGAAACAAATAACTCTCGATTAAAAGACAGTGTTGTACAAAAGACACCGCGTGAGAAAGTTTAGTAAAGATGTTTCACTTCTGAGTGTAAAACAGTACCCATTTTGGGTATTCAAATAGTGGTTCAAGTAAAATAACCAAATAGAAAAGTGATATGATTCACTTTTTATTAAAAGAAAAATACCAGGTGATGTAGTGAGTGAATTCGGAATGGATGTTACTGACGAATTGTTGTATCGTGCTAATGGTATTATATAGGTGGAGAAATGTTTCGTTCAACCAAAGTGGGAAGGAACAAGAAACCGTTTTGTTACTTTCCATCATTGCTAATTCACATATGTCATGAGGGATCTTATAGTAGCACCGTCCATAAATCTTGTAAATATTAATTAGAGAACCCATGGGAATCGCGGCATATATTTGAAGGTATACAAGCACATCTGGCAGCAGCTTCTCCAAATCGAATTATGATAGAGATATACGCCATGTCCGACAATGAGTTGCTTATCGACCTATTTTCGTGCACTCGATCCCAGCCTACGTACAACAAATTATACGGGATAAAACAAATTAATTTGATAAGGCAAACGAGAAAGTTTGTTTAGGTGAGTTGGATTACCGCAACACAAGTGGTGAGCTGAGTAGTCACATAAATTCGGCAAGGGTGCTTTTTGAAATCTGAAACCCAATAAGCACGTAGGCAAAATGCCACAGAATTTGAACTTTAATTAGGTTATAAATATGAATAAGTAGTATGAATACTCAGGAAGAATTATTTATTTTCGTAGATTTTATGCGGAAATGAAAATTAGCTTCACGCAACATAATTGATCGGACCATCGGTAATCGTGGATTTGGTCAGCGGAAGTTGTGCGATCCATCTACTTGACGATACGATTGATACTCCTCCATCCAGGACAGGTAATACAGTGAAACCCATTAAAATTCGGAGTAACTTAGTTTTAGCACAGACAAACAGCACTGGACAGGTATTTCGTCTTTTCAATGGCTGTTTTCTTCCCCAGTGGGGATTGAACTGTGAAAATCCGGGTTGGAAATCAAGACCCATATAACTGCGCAACACAAGGTCGACAGAGATCATTTTGAAAAACCACAGCTCTTGGCATAGCTGATGAGAAGTCACGGATACTTGTGGATAGAACGTTTTGAATGTTGTGCAAGTCGCTCGGGATCGCAATTACGGAACAACCTACATCACAGCCTAGTGTTATAAATCCACAAGACAGTGCCAAACGAGGAGAGTTATTTATTACGAACAACGGTACGGTTTTTGACAAACTGGCATACACACAACAAAATATCCTATTAGAATTAAGTCTTCAGAATTTCCACAGACATACGGGATAATTACTGGAACTGTCCGACGGCAGATGCGCATTTTATGTAGTTACGAAAGTGAATCCCAATCCAATGGCGAAGTCCGTGGGAATTTAACAACCGCTTCCTGGTGCGTGCAAACTACGCACACATGTGAGAACGGCCTCGCAACAGTCCTATCCTGGTGAAAGTGAACTCTGAATGCAGTGAGCACTGACATCTTTCCTTGGAGAACTCGAATCCGTCTGTCTCCGTTTGACAACTTGCTATTTTGATTGATGTGATCGACTATCCTTCGGACTTTACCTTCACGCACAATCCTCCGTTCATCGATTCTACCATACACTCGGAAGTACTAAACTCGAGTTTCGCTCTTAAAAGAGCTCATTAGTAGTGCATATCCACCGTCCCGTCCGGGATTTTAACTCCGGACCCATCGAACGGAAGGCGTGTGTTACCACTGTGCTAATCAGCTCATGCCATTACTGAACCAAATTGCCAATTTGTGTTTGGTCAAGTGTTTTCTTCAGTGATAATCAGTTCATTTGGCCCGATAGCAACGAAGGGAGATACAGATGGCAACCTGTTAACTTCAATCGATAGTCTCCCACTAAGTCAGGACTTGTGACTTCATCCTTTTTTATATGGCTAGGGGGTTAATTTGTGACCACTCTTTGGTACACTGCTATTGTCACGCCCCATCCATTATGTTCACCTTGATACAAACACCTGTCATCGTTTATCTTCTGAATGTGGTTCCGATTGTTTTATTTGAGGGGTAAATTTCTTGAGCCACGATGGCTGATATCACCTTCGACATGTTGCTTGTACTTTACTTCCGACACTTTCAGAAGTACATTTGGTTCCCGTTTCGCCTGCATGCCTGACTTGCTCATCATTTTGTCCAGCAACCTGACGGAATTTTGTTTGGCCGTCGTGTTCCCAATAGGGATAATCCGGTTTGCTGCACTGTCTAACTGCGGGCTGTGTTCACCAACCGTCTTCACTGCTGTATCACAGACTCCTGTTGACTCAGCTGATTGGGACTTCATCAAAGAAACAGCAGCATATGCATCAAGTAAACAGAGCTCTTTCTGAGCCTAAATCTCCAAATGAGTTAGGACAGAAGGACAATCGACCGTTTTGGCAATGGTCTCCTACAGGGACAATGATGTGAAAAAATCCACGGTTCATTCACAGGCTATTCACACTATCCTTCGAGGGAAATGCTTCAGCCAGCCTTCTGACTCTTTGCACACGAAACCTTCTGATGGTTTTTTGAACTAATCTGTTTGGATGGCATCAACCTCCTCCGTCAGTTTCTTGAGTGTAGTCGTAACTCCTGTAAGCTAGCGCTTGGGACCTTCAGTTGCCAGAACATCAGTGAATTTCTTCCCGATGAACTCTCTCACTGCATCGGCC